TCCTACCTCCCCGAGCTCCGATCCCAAGAGCAAGTTTTCCCCCGTGCGCTGAGGTCTTTTGCAAAAGAAAAGGTGTCCCGCCCCAGTGGCCAGGGTCCTTTGTCTCTCTTAAGTATCCGAGCATCTGATAACATGTATGGGGGAAAATTCCTTAAAGCAACAGAGGAGCTCCTACCAAACCCTAACATCTTTTTAATATGTTCCATGTGGCAGACTGACAAAAGTGCTTCCAGGAATCTTTCCCAGCTCAGCTCTTCAACTGGTTCATTTTGGGCGTTTGGATTATTTTTTCTGTTTTTGTAGGCTTCAGAGTTTAAAACAAACAAAAAGGCAAAAATATGATTCACAAGATCAATCTGTGATGGTTCTGTTGTGTTGAAGTTGTAGCTTAGGTATGTGAAGTGATTTGCAAGTCAAATTTGAGTCTTGAGACCATTTGTTCCCATCACATTTCTGAGTGCTCTGCCTGAATGAGACTGGAACTGAATGGAAATAGATAAATACAGGTTTTGTCATGAAATCAGAGGTTAATCTATGAGAAGTGTGAAGCCCTCACCAGTTAGAGCTGAAGGGTCACCCAGTTCAGCTTCTTCAGTAACCTTTGTTAGAGGTAGATGTTCCAGCAGTAATGGATGTGAATTGCTAGGGAGATCTGGGCCCTTGGCTCCATCTCCTTCCAGCCCCTCGGGTCTGCAGGAGCATTTCCTTGGTGTTTTTCAGGGACAAAAGTAGAAATAGCAATGAAAATAAGTCAAATTAAACAAAATTAGTCTGTTTCTTAGTCCTCTCCATAATTTGGTCATGCCCTGGTATTGCTACTCAGTCGGGGCTGCCATGGGCAGTGTGCTGAGCAGCTCTGTGTGTGGCTGTGTAAACTCTGTGCCCTCCTCATGCTGGCAGTGTGGAGATACAAATTGCTGAACAAAACTTTGCCTTTATAGCAAAGTTGTGTTTGTTTCTGCACCCAGGCTTCAGTCACGGAATATCCTGTGAAAACTCAGCCCTTGTGTTTGGTGGTGATTAAATACTTCACATTTCTGCTTGGTTGTGATTTTAAAAATGCCGTTTGCAAGCCGAAACGGGATTTTTTTGTGTGTTGGAGTATTTATGGGTGATTATCTTAAAGATCTGTGTGTGTTTTCCCAGGCTGGACACAACTCTTATAGACTTTACCGACATGAAGTGCCAACGAGGGGACCTGAGCTTCATTTTCACAGGGGATGCTGCACCCTCTGAGTCCTTTGTAGTCTTAGACAATGAGCAAAAGGTTTACCAGCGAATACATCACGAGGTAAAGCTCTTAGAGACAGACCTCAGGCCTTTTGGGGAGTCTGACTTTATTAACCAGAATGTGCCTCAGAAAGACCCAAAGAAACACAAACCAAAGGATTTGGTTAGTTAACAACTTGAGTTTGAAGGTGCTGTCAAATTTGACGATGAAAACAGTGATTTGAATCCAAGTAAGGAAGGTAGAATGAGAATATTTGGGAAAAAAACATCGTTTAAGTTACGATGTATGCTGCTTTTAACCTTCCAAGTGGGATTAATTTAGACCTCAGGTAAATTTCCAAGCTGGTTCCCACTGCTTTGCATCCTTGTAGTCACTCCATGAGCAGTTGAAATTGATAACACCATGAGGGTCTTGACTCACTGGACCCCTTGTAATAAGTCAAGTCTTTAATTACAGCTTTAGCCCCTAATCACTTAAGGAGATGGATTACTGCCTGTGGGAAGGGTGTGGCTGCTGAGCTGCTGGATAAATCCCACCAGGATGCTTCATTCACATTAATATTGAAGATTAAACTATTTGGCAACTGTTTGGCCAAAGCTTTTAGAAAACAGTTGGAAAATTGCGGAAATGCTGGTTCTGGGAAGGGTTCCAAGGGACAAGGCTTAGGGGTTTGTGTTTATTTTTAGGAGAATCATAATTTTTGAGGTCTGTTCAGTGTTTTGGGATTGTTCCTGCAGGAATCGGAGATGGAAACAGAAGAGGAGGTTGACATCCTGATGAGCAGTGACATCTACTCTGCAACGTTATCCACCAAATCCATCACCTTCACACGTGCCCAGACTGGGTGGCTCTTCAGGGAGGACAAGACAGTGAGTGGGGAGGGAACTGTACAGGGTCCAGGTCTGGGAAGAAATGGTCCAGGGAGCCTTTCATGGTGTGGAAGGGGAGGAAGGAGGAGAAAAAAGCACTGGGAGAAGCACTTAGTGCAGGTTGCCCAGAACACCTGTGGCTGCTCCACCCCTGGGAGTGTTCCAGGCCAGGTTGGATGGAGCTTGGAGCAACCTGGGCTGGTGGAAGGTGTTCCTGCCCATGGCAGGTGGTGGAATGAGATGAGTTTTAAGGTCCTTCCAACCCAAACCAGCCTGGCATTCTAGAAGAATAAGGTGTTCAGGGTGGAGGAAAACTGTCTCTCCCTGTATCCCTGACAACTGTCATGAGTTCCACCACATGGATTATCTGATGGATATTGCCTTCCTAAGGAAAAAATAGGAATACAGATACTAAGCAGTAACTGTTGGGCAGGGGGAGAACAGATTATAGAGGAAATGACTTTTATTACAGGAGTCTGTGATCTCTGCAGGCTTGATCCCAGGGAGGATTCTGTGCTCCCATGTCAAAGA